CCTTCATTCTTGACGAAAAGAACGATTTTGCTGAAATATCTAAAAAAAATAACAATTTAGATACAGATCTGAAGATGATTTTATTGGATTATCAAAATAATTATGTAGAATATTTAAGCTGGTTGCTAGAATGTCAAAACTTTTTACAGCATTGTTCATCATGCTTAAGTTCCTTACATAATTATTTTGCTAAATCAACAAAATTATTTTTAGTTTTGTGTACCCACCAAAATTTGTATAATCGTTCTTTCCGTGTACATAATTATTTTTGTTGAGCAGTGTAATAATACGTTATAATTAATACACGTTCGCAGATTCTATACAACTATTATTAATTTCCAGACAAAGCAGACGATAGAAAGACTACAGCATATCGTATCATCCGATGGACGCTTTAGAAATTTGCGGGACGCCTTGCATCGATGTGATCCACCTTGTATCCCTTACTTAGGTCTTTATCTCACCGACCTTTCGTTTATCGAAGAAGGTACTCCAAATGTCACCGAAGGTCTTTTAAATTTCTCGAAAATGCGAATGGTGAGCTTCTTCAATTTTACTTAAAATTTATATTTTACATTCCTTCTTATCAAATCCTTTAATCTGTTAGCATAAATATAGGAGAATGATTATTGAAAGAATGATTTGTTTAAAATCAATATATGTTTAATTAATTATTTTATGCTATGTTTTAATATTTTGTATTTGTTTTTTTAAAGTCGATTCTTGTTACAATTTTTGTATTGAATTCTTAACATACCCAAGTATTAATTTAACGTAATGTGATTGTGTTATTTTGTATAATTATTAAAATTAATATTCAAACATTTATAAGTGTTAAAATAATACAATTTGTAAGTATAAACAAATGAAAATAATTTAAATGTTTCAAAACGTTAGTTATAAGATAAACGAATAAAGTATTAATTTAATACATTATAAATGTTAATTTTACTGAAGAAATATGCTTTTACAGTTTGCTTATCAATTATGCCAGTATTACATTTTTTATATGACATTTATATTATTTTCTAACATATTCATCTTTATATTAAATTAATACAAAAATTTTGGTGGACCGTATGAAATACGTAAAATTTATCACAAATTTTTCAATTGTGTATTCATATTAATGAACAAGTTACGAGAAGATATTGTGTGCCTTTTTTCAGATTTCTCACGTAATCCGCGAGATACGGCATTTCCAGCAAACCCCCTATAAGATCGAATTGGTCACGAAGGTAACCAACTATCTACTCGACACGTCGCTCCTGCTGAACGAGAAAGATCTGTATCGTATGTCCTTGGAACTCGAGCCCAGAACATCTAGGTTGAGTAGTTCTGCTTTAATCGATCTACCTCCTTCAGTCAGCAACGTGTCTACAAAATGAATTTATTTTGTCCTAATATACTGTGAAGCGCGCAACTTAATTCTACCTTCACTTAATAATGTAAAAAAAGGAAAATCTAGGTTCGAAAGGATCAACTATTTATTGCGACCGGCCGATCGTTACGACGATCGCAAATGCGATCACTCGTCGTGTTATCAGCCCCGTCCATTTCTGTCCTTCGATTATAACGTCCATTGACTTCCGTTGTTGTTTCAATTTTACTTATTGCGATACATTTGAGCAAGAAGTTATATAAACAAGCTCGACAATGATCTCATCGTCGCGCATAGAATGGCCTCTGATTCGCGGAAGAAAAACGTTAGCGAAATTAATTGGATTTCAACTTCCGTGTTACCAGAATTGCTGTCTTTTAACTTTTTTCCTGCTCCACTGTTATTACATTTTTTAAATTATATTTCTACTTTAAATTTAAAAATGACAAATCTATTTCTATTTCTATCGTAATTCAAAGTTGTATTGAAAAGAACTGACAAAGAAAGTTGCAGATTTTAAGTAAGCGCATTTAATAGTAACCTGTATAGATTCTAAGAAAATGAAATGCGTGCTTGTACATAAAATCTGCTAAAGATAAAAATACGAAGTATTAATGAGTATAGAAACACTTTCTTGTAACAACATGATTATATTTAATTTCTTCGTGTGTGTGTGTTATTGATAAACTAATGTCATTAAAAAATGTCAGTCAAAAATGTGGTCAGTTTGATCTGTCCGATAAATGATATATATTTCAGATTATCCGATTTTTTACAAAACAAATGTCATTGATTTTACGACGAAATGATCTCAGTGAAGATAAAAGAGCTGTTGTTGATTTTAGTTTAGCCAAGCTCAATCGAGCCAGTATTATTGTGCAAAGCATATAAAAAAATAGTTCAAATGAGTACGTTTAAGAGAATCGATGAGAAGCATGAAAGATGAATGGAAATTATATTCTGACAATCAATAGCATAACGATATCACTGTCTTTTGTTTATTTTAATTATTACTGTAAATATCAAAGCAAACTCGCTTGTCAAACAGCTAATAATTAGTTTGTCAATTTTTAACTAAAAAAATTTCAAAATTACAGATATACTATAATATTCCATTTTTATTAAACTCGTTTTACTAACGCATGTTAATATTAAATTTTCGATATGTCCTGATGATTAAACATTTACTGTTAAAATAATATTAAAAATCCCACGCAAATATTTAGAAATTACGTGTATACAAATTCTCCTTATTTGCCAAGTGAGATATGAGTCTTATACAAAATGATATTATACATATCAACTATATTTAATATAATTCCAGATTAATGTCTTTCTCGCCCGCCTCTATATTTTTATTCAACATTTATACAATAGCAACACATGATCAGATAGTTTGGAACCGGTATTCCGTTGACACATGCACTGCAAAAGGAAAAAAGAGCGAGATTTTAAGTGAAAAATTTATATACATATATTATATATATATACACATCCACATCTATTTTTAGCTTTACGTTTATTAAGAGACTTTCGGATGCATTTCTGCATCTGCAATCTTAACGTTTCCGCCGTGCAAAGTGCACACGATCTTTTTGAGCTCAAATATGGAAACTATGACGCGTAGACCTCGCGTTTCTATTAATCAAATACGCGCGAGAAAGAAGATCTCTTTCTCTCTCTCTCTCTCTCTCTCTCTCTCTTTTTTCTCGAGAAGTGCCGCCTTTCGAAAAGGTGACGAATAAAACGCCCATAAGAGAGCGTTACTAGTATCCTTTAAAATTAAAAAGTGCACCTTAAGGTCGTGCGCGGATCAACATTAGAACAACGCCTACAGGCATTCCGATAATCAGGGTTTATTCTCAAATACATTCCGAAACAAAAACATATGCGGTTTCAAATATGGCGGTTGTCACAAAACGGCAAAACTTTATATTTATATTCTCCTTTCACAAAGTCTGCGCCCTTCGAAGTGAGCCAATGACCAATTAATTAATTGTAAATAGCTCGTTATTTCTATCAAATTATAATTATTGTTAAAAGTCGATTCGACTATAATCTTTGCGTGGTCTATACAGATCACATGTGCATTTTACGTCTTCAAGAAGTATCATTTATCTTTCATCCTATTCCTATACTATTGTATCACTCGTAGGCATAAAACATGAAAAAGGAATGATTTCTTAATTTGTATGATCGATTCTTGAGATGTTTTGAGCTAAATTAAATTGATTAATGCGGCTGATCTTGGAAAAATTTCCCGAGATATTTACTTATCACATGATGTAGAGGATCAATTGTATAAATTGCAGAATCCATCGATGTTTAACACGATTATACGCACACTGCACATTGAGAACAAATTTATGAAATTTTAATAAATATTTCTTTATATAGTCTTAGTGCAATATTTACTTATGGTAAATAAATATTTAGATAAATGAAAAATTGATAGTTAAATCAAATAATTATTGTATCTAATAAATATGTGTTTAAATTTAGTAAATATATTCGTCTAGAATTATTTAAAGAAATAGTTATCAAAATTTAATAAATTTAGTAAATTTTTTTTCAATGCAGTAATGTTAAACGTTCGTTCTGATGAAAATTATTTCAGAATATTGTGTAGGAGTTTTTAATAACTATGAAGCGGCCAGTGAGAAAAAAGTATTACTATTAAATTATTTACTATTAAAAGTTTAAAGATACAGTAGCAAGAGAAAGGATGGAAAATTCGCGAATTAAACTTTTGCCAATAATTTTACGCAAGACGGAGCATATCACTGTCGCAATCATTAATTTATTAATGTCTCTAAAATTCTTGTTCGCTCAAGCATAACTATAAATTTCAGATATTGTATGTGATAATTTTCAACTGTTCTTATTTGATCGTAAAATTGTTTAAAATGCTTTTATTTGTAAAAGTAATCAAATTTTAAAAACTTTAAATATATAGGTAAACTTTAAATATGATAGTAAAAATTTGCATTATTCGTATCATTTCATATAATTGTATGTTACAAAGCATGTTTTTTCGAATTTATATAAATTTAATCAAATTTATTCAAAAATATTTTAATTGTATTCTTTTCGAAGAAAAATTTCTCTTTTAGGATATAGCGGGACATGACTGCATTTGAAACATTAAAATTTATGCGATTCCCACGATTTCATACCGATCATTTCATATCACTGTTTTCCTTGTGATTTTAATATCACTTCTTCCTTTTACAAACAACTTCGTTGTTTTCTCGTCACGAATCGATCTAAACCAAAAGTGGGCAATATAAGGTCCTTTTCCGTTAATGTGGAATGATTTATTATATTAAAAGTAATATAAAGAAGAATTTAAATAATAATATCAGATTTTAAGAATTTAAGGTGACAAATTTTAGGATTTAAAGTAATAATATGAATCAGTAAAAAATTTATCAAAGAATTCATATACAATAGTAAACGCCTAATTCTAGTATACGATATAAATTAATGATATAATTAACTGCGTTTTTAATGTCGTACTTCATAAAAAAAAATTCAATGAAAATCTAAATATGGAATGTAAACATGGAATATATATTTTTAATTGAATTTCTGTATAATTTGAAGAATTGTCATAATTTGCGAGACATTCTCGAAAATATTGTTGGCTGTTTCAAGAGATTGCCCACTTCTTATCAAAGTCTTGTGCCAATTTGAAAGAAGATCACGCGACGAATAAGAATCAATTGCATCGACAATCTTTATGAGATCAGATCTAATTAGCAATGGCTAGATTATAATTCAGTCTATGATAATGTTAAAAAAATGTTTTCTAATTATATGAATCGATTATCAATTAATGTCGATGCAATCGATGTAAAATGTCAAAAGCGAAAAGTTTATGTAACTCAGAATCTTCACGTATATCCGTAAATCACGTCGTATAGCAGAGCTGTCTAGACGTTCACGAGTTAACGTTTCTCTCTTGCTCGTCCCCATGTGTTCTTTCACGTGACGTTGAAATTAGGCAGCTCTGTCATATAACATGGAAGAATATTTTCTAGAGTGTACAAAGATAGAATTAATATTATGGCTAACGTCTTTACGAATTGTTATTATGTTATAATTTTCAATCATTCTTCAAATATAATATCTGTTTGTTATTATGTATAATTTGTTATTTTTTAGAAAGATCATAATATTATATTTACATAAGATCAACGTCTTCAAAAGTCAATGACCTCGACGTATATCAAGAATACATCCCCGAATAACATTCAAAAGGTTTTGGCCGTCGCTTGTTGTTTGTTTAAAAGTAATTCATAAAAAATATCACGAGTGTTAACACGATTAAAAATCAACATCCCATACAGCAATATTGCTGCAAAATCTCTGCAATATTGCTGTAACATATAATGTTGTTGCAATGTTGCAGCAGTGTTACTGCATCTTATGTGCAACTTTGTGCTGTAGAGGATTTATTATATAATATTATATATTTTTCTTATTAACATTATAATAGTGTTTGTTAAAAATTAAAAAATCTCGTATAGAAAGTGTACACTTGGACGCAGTACGCCCCCCCCCCTTTCCTCTACGGAGGAATCACTGCAGGAAGCACTCTCAAAACCTAGAAACATATACATAGGTTTGGATTGAACCTCGCTTCCCGTGGAAGTGAATCTAGAAATGCGTTCCGTTTCACACATGATGAGCATGATATATCATTTTATTCTTGTTGTTCACCTTGTTGTTCTCATATTAAAGAGAGGTAAAATACAATAATACATCATACGCATCATGTCTAAAACAGAACGCACCCTATGTGGAATCTCGCCTATCGTAAATATATTTATTTCTCAAAGGTACAAGATGTTGGAAAACGATGTATTCAATATATTTTTTGTTAATAACTTTTTAACAAACAATAAGAGTGAAGGCTGAAACCTTTTGTTTCTCAGAG